CATTTGATGCATGTAAAAATCCTTTAACCTTAGCATTTTGCCTGTATAACCAATTTCATAATGAGAAGCTTCCACTTATACTGACAGAAGTGCGCACTTGTCTGGCAAAGTGCTGTCTCATTCTAATGACGTTCAGTTCAAGTGTCAATTGAACTGAAGTTTTGACGATCATCAAATGCTAAATCTTTTCCCAACGAAACCTAACTGTAACTAACTTTAATTAAGGTTTCTCCTGAGGGAATTTCCTATCTTCTACATTAAGTTCGAACGCAACAGGCTGTTGTTGATACAAAAGAGTAATTGGTAGGAAACGCAAAGAAAATGCATAGCTATAGAAGATGGGCACAAAGGATAGTTGGCAACCAAAACTATTTAAATGGGTTCAAGTACCGCAGGTTTGATCCAATTCGACGAAGCATGGAGTCGATGATGGCGAGATTTTCTGCTTTAACGATTTGCATTGTGACTCCCGCTGTCTATTTTAAAACACAAGAAAGTGCTCGCTGCATGAGTTGAAAGCTATATGTATGTGTACAATGTTTAGTCTTAAGTCTATAGAAATTTTTTGGTCGCCAACTGCTTTGCGAGGAAATCTAAATAACAAACTACAAGCTGTTAAGTATAACAGCTCAAAGCCCATTCACAAGCATTGTGTGGTAGCCGTCTTCGCCTATAGAACAAGCTTCAATACTCCGCGAGGTAAGCTTCGATGACTAAATTACTATGATATACTCGTACGCAATTCTACTTTTGCTCATTGAGTAGTTGAGAAGATCACTGCGCCAGGATTCGGTCATAACAAACGACTAGAAGTGGTGATTTGGCCTGCAATTCTTATATATGTTATTGTTGGAAATAGTTCTTAATAAATTTCTTTGACAACAAAGAAACTTGTGCCGCCACATAATTTTCAGTAGGCTATGAAACTTTCAAATGGAACTTCGCCAAAAAACATTTTGACAGTTATTTGCACATACAAAACATGTATGTTACTAAACGTTCGGCCAATACTCAATGCACTTATACACCATAGCCTAACTGGCTCACCGGAATTATGCGTGCATGAGTTTCCGTACAAGTGCCATATAGTGCCAAGTGACTTTGCTTGCTTGGAGAGAACTACGACACAAATCGACAACACAAAAGCCACATGTGGTTGTACAGCATGGCTCTGCAATTTCGGACAAATATGGCGATATCAAACCGTATATGTCAAGCGCACTACATCCGTATTCCTCGAAACTGGCAGTTTGTCATTCGTACCAGTTTGCGATATGTTTAGTAAAACGAAACGTGTCGATTGGGCGAGAAAAGCTGCGCTCGGTTTTTTTTATTTGAAAACAGCTTTCTCTGCATGAGATTGTTGTCTTCACTAGTTAATAGATCGTTTTATTGGGGCTATTCATTTCCAAGGATGAAATATTCTTGCATGAAGTTAAGGGTGAGGGGTCAATCGGTTTTAGATAAAAGTTGGATTGTTCATGGACACCGCTCTGGTTGTTTACCAATGATCTACGTTTAAAGGTACGATGCCGAGGTGGAATGTCAATCCACCTTCGTGGATGTAAGCAATGGCAGTTTTAAGATAGGAATTTAAACAGTATACATCGACTAACGATTTACAGAACATACTTGCTCAGACATGTTAATCGCCCATTTAATTGTATGTTGTAGGGAAACATTTAAATGTATCAAGAATATAAGTCTTACGGAACACACTGTGACCTTTTGGTTCATTCATGTCGTATTAACGTATCAAGATAGGATGTACAGAACACCTTCTGCCATTTCGCACATGCATAGAAATTTATTATGTAGATAAATATTTAAATATATGAAGATAAGATTTAGTAGAACAATGAGAGCGTACAATGAGCTGTTGTCTCTGCTATAAGCTGAATCTTATAGCCACAATTTCATTATGTGGGACTTATTGTATCAATCAAAATAAGATTTACAAAACACATTTTATGCCTTTTCCCCAATACTCTCGAAATAAAAGTTGTCAAATCTCTTGCGCGACATGCCACTGGCAAAGCCTGCTTCAATTTTGCAGTAATTTTTGAAGTTTAATATACCTCTACGCAATGCCATTACCACTGTTCTGTGTTCTTTCACATTTTACCATTGTACATGGGCATTGGTGGAAGTTGATTTGATGTTTTGGAAATATGGTGAAACGTCTCCTTGATTGGTGGCGTAAAGAATGTTGATGACAGTTCTGTTTATGACTTATAACGCGTTACCTGTTGCGGAGTATACTTTGGCGGCATTTGTAAAGGGCCGAGTTAAGATCAGCCAAACTCTTCCAGACATCCTGGCAGAAGTCGCCTTTGCGACGGAAAAGTATAACACACTGTGTTAAACCGCAACCGCAAGCTTCTTGTTCAAATATACCGTTGTGTGATTGCGAGTACGATTGAAGACTACTCAGATAAGACATGAATATAGAACAATCAGTTAGAAGGACATGTTCTGGGCAGAAAGTTTTTCTACAACGAGGCATCTAACATCAGGCTGTATAGTTTTCCTTTTCATTTCAAATGAGAAATTTTGCTCAGAGAATTTTCTTTCCATTTTACATTACACGAGAGAGCATCTATCGGGTGCGGTTGTAGTATTCATGCACAGTAACTTAAGATATAACGATGAATTTGTTCTCATGCAAGAGACCACAAGACGTGCTTGCCAACAACTCGCGTTTCCCAATGCTTTAAAGCATATTTCCGAGGCTATAATTTGGCAACAATATGTTGAACTTAATGCATTGGTGCTTTTACCAACTTTCTTGCCAACATCTTCGCTCTCAGTCAAGCAGTTCCGGAACGATTTCTTTGCTTGCAACTCTGAAAATGCCGAAGGAATAAGTATGTGGGTTCACTCGTTTTACCCCGTAGGACTTAGGAGATGTGTCAGTGTCATTGATGGTACACCGAGCTCAACATAGTAGAATTACTTCTGCGCAGTAATCAAAAAAAGATACCCAATTTCCCAAATGCATCCGAATTGGTGTTCGTAGGATGTATCCGGAGTGGGCGTATAATCAGCAAGTTGTCTCGACTAGCCAAGTTTAACTTGACAATTGGGTATAATTAAAGGATGGTCATTCAATCTTATGGTTTTTTCAACATCGTGGACTTAATCATTTACAAAAAATTTTTTTAAAACGAAGCATTGACTATCAGGCTTTTCAAACAGAAGTCCACGTGAAAATTATCGCTCGGAATTATTGCTTCTTTTTATTTCATTGCACGGTATTTCGTCTATGTGCGTCAATTTTACATGCAGTTTGCGCGGAGTACATTCGATTCTCCTTTCTCCGGTCATAATGAATATTCTGAATGAAAATAATGAATGTTAATTTGTGAATGACTTTCAGCCCTTGTAACGATTGAGGGAGACGAAAACTTAATCGACTTTGACGCTTGCTCATTTGGAGTGAAGCCTTTACAGCACAGCGTTTGCAAATATGAAAAAATAATATGTATCGATATCGTACACAGACCCTCTTGCAACCTCTCTATGCTCTCCTTTGGCGAATAGAGATAAGAGCCTGGGAACAAGGAAGACATAAACCTTGAATGACTGAGAGAAAAAAAAAATGAAAAACAAACGAGATTTGTATAACTGATTTATTGTCCATTGATTGATTTATATAGACAATCTTCCTTTAAAATGCAGATGAATTTTTTTAATTTGGTATTACGAATAGTTTTCCCTTATATAAACACACCCCATGATACAATTAAGTCAACTACGTGTGTATTTAAGTAATTTCTAGCAAAACCCTAAGGGCACACTTGTCTTTGGGTAACACATATGTAAACCCAAATATGCGCATTTATTTGCGGTATTCGGAGAACGATTACGTTAAAACTTTTGTTTACCTATAATTTTTATCGATAACGTGTCGATGAGCGCTTTGCAAAGAATAATAAAGTAAAACAAAGTTTCACTTAAACTCCTCACAAAGGAGATAAACAGTATGTTTCTCATTCATCATCAATATCGATAATGTAGATCATGCACCGTATAAACTTTCTCATACTGGATTAAAAGTTTTGACTACAAATAGTGCTCGATTATGACTATCAGTCTAGGCGCTGAACTGAAATCGATCATTAGTTGTGGCAGAACTTCATTTCTCTCATATTTGATGCAACAAGTCAGTGAATTTGTTACGAAGTCGACACTCGTACAACGTCTTTCAATGTTCTGTCTCAACCAAATACCATTTTTCAATTTTTGGCAAGATGTTTTATTGAATAACTCGATTTCCTAATTAGCTTTGTTTGTGGACGTTCCTGCCTTCTTGTCTTTGCAATCTGTTACAGTTTTAAAACATATGTTTGTTGATGTAGTGCATGTAAATGAAAAATCATTCACTGAGGATAAGATTTGACGTTTATTGATTTCGTTGCATTGCGTCTTTGCGTCCCCTGCTTTGATTTATTATTGAAAGCTGGCCGCGTTGACAAGGCATAATCGCGTTCGGTGTGCTCTTGCAAAACCTGATGATGTGGATTTGACATTGAATCCTAAGCATTGGTACGAATTTTAAACGCATGACTCTGTGCTCTTCAGGAATAAGCCCATAGTTTTCGAATGGCAGTGTATTAGACCGTATAAAATAAGCATTTCGATATTGAAAACGACGTTAAATGCACTTTCAAAGGCTGCCTATTTTTATCAGAACCACTTGAGTCGCGTTAAAAATTGTTTTTTTGGCACGACTTCGCGAGGAATTACATCTGTAATGACAGGACACATAACGTATAGCTTTTGCACGTTCTCTTGTCATGCGTAATCGCTATTCTGATTAGATGTATGTCACTTTATACGTTTCTAAAAAGTCATAGCCGACCATCACGTAATTTTTGGACTTTCAGTTGGTCTTGTATGTATATTACAGACCGAATAGTGTTTGCATCTATAGATCAATATAGATCACTGAATTACAATTTTTTAATCACAGCTTTTGTCCTCTTCTTCCATTGCAGATTGACGGTGTTCTATCGGCAAGAAAATTATCGGTGCTAGACAATAACACACAAAGACATCTCATCGACGACAAATATCTTTAAGGAGGATTTTCTAACGTCAGCATCTTCGGATTTTGGTCAGTTTCCAGGAGGTGAGTGACACCTACATGCATGTCAAAATGGATTAAGTAGACCGCATGATACATCGCGGGTTCACATTACTGTTTTCAATTATTTGCCATGGAAACTCGTCAACGAAGGCGGTCAAATGTCGTTCATCGTATTTCCTCAGTTGAAGATGATTGTTTGCCACGGGAAAGCTCATAAATAAATAAAAATTAAAATTGTTCGCATACGAAAAATAAAAATCCTCGACGCGCCTGATTTGAATCGTCTATTGGAATCAATGTATCAATTCAGCTGCGATTTTAGCTCAGATATTAAAATAAACCCAATGCAGATATGTTTGTCAAAAAATTTAGAGTGGCCTAAGGTTATAGGCTTCTTCCTCTTATTTGCTTAGCCCATGCAAAGCATGAAATGATTAAGTAACAAACATTGAAAATGGTTGAGATTCTACTTCGAAGACAAAGATCTTTGCATGTTCTTTTGGATTGAAATTCCACTGTCGAATGAAGGCAACGGTCCCCGATGCTGTTATAGTATATTGTATTTGTCTACAGGGAAGTCTCAATTTTAACTAAGAGTCACGGAAACTACCTATTCCAGAAGCAAATGCTTGAAGAAATACGAACGTATAAATATGTAACTCGATTCCCCGGTCGCAAATATTAATTTCAGCTTTCTTTTTATTTTCTTTTGAAAATCCTAATTGACTGTCTGAAAAACCGTTCGGAATTCGAAAGATTTGCAGCCCCGTTATCATAAAGACGTATTTATTTCATTGATTAAGCAGACGAGACGCAAGGTAGCTCAATGTAATTGGTCTATTTAGTACATGAATTCGTTTATCACTTATAAGTGAAAGTCTTTATAAGTGTTTCCAGAAAGTCGAACTTTTCGGTTGGCGACTGTACTTAGTTATCACATTATCACATGTGTTGTGGTATTCAAACATTTGTCTTAGACAAACAAAAGAGGGGTGAGCATTTGGGTGTTAAGCCAACAAACTGCTGACGTCTCTCGATTCTTCATTCGTGTGAGATATATTAGGTGGACCCAACCATCAAAAAAAAACATGTTGTTTTAATAGCTTGCATGCAGGAAATCTCGTCGTCGAGAACGCCAATTTAATCCTTCGTAAACAAAAAGTTTTACACTAATGTTATAACGCTACTTTAATAGCTACGATTTTTGCTGTCTTAACGTGTGATATTTTGGGCATTAACATCGGACGTTGTTTCATCTAATATCATTACGAAAGGCAATTAATTGGCTGGCGAATGTTCAAACCAAAGGCAGATATTTCGAAGGAAAAGAAATGGATTTTAAAACCACCTTGCCTGCTTCTTTTTCTGCCTTTGTGGCAAAGAAAACTCTCTTTAAACACATTCAAACCCGGTTTCCATTTCTAAAATAAGCAGAAGCTAAGCGCAATCTAGCGATGAAAATTTCTTCTCGCTATAACTTAGTTCACTGGAGGCGACCAGTTGCTAAATGCAATGAAAGTAAAGTTAGAAAATATTCTTTCGAGCATTGAACTTCAATCAATCATGATCACCAATATTAGTTTTGTTTGTTTTGAAAATTCTTGAGCGTTATAAGTACATGTTTCGTGCGAATGTAATTCCGTTGACACGATACCAAACTTCTACATAAGAAATAGTTAAACTCCTCTGAACAAACCGTGATGATAACGGTAATAACTTTTTAGAGAACAAAGAGAATGTTAATGTGCCTAATCAATCAACCAAATGTCTTTGCTAAAGATAGCAGCACTCTTTTTTCTCGTGTGATAGAAACACACCTATTTCATTTAATCAAAAAAGAGGGGGGCTGCCAAAAAATTATCAAGCAAGTCAATAAATGGCAACGTCTTGCAACGTATCTGATGTCAGTTCGGAAAATTTTTTATCATAGTATGGATGCAAACATTGCAATCACACTTATACAAGTAAATTAGCGTTAAATTTTCCATACTATTTTCAAAGTTATTTGATATATATCTTCAATGAGGTGTTTTCGCAATATCGGACCGTTGTGAGTGCAACAGTCGTGCATTCATTTCGTTCACTGATCCTTCTTTTATTGCTTAACCTAACCTTGTAAGTTTCAAACAGGAATCACCTACGTTAACTCTGCGATGTAAGCAAATTTTCGAGATCTATACATTTTTTGTGTAACTGGTGTAAAATATGGCCGTCGTATTACTTACTCTGGGTTAATCAAAGTTAATTGACACAATAAATATCGTGATTAAAGCTCTGAATGTGCGCCGCCCACTAAAGAGAAATTGTTTCTGACAATATCGTGTTCTTCGGTTTACACCGACAATGTCAGCACGAGCATTGATCTCTTAATCACCCTGCTTTTGTTCACATAGCCAGTTGGTGGCACGAAAACGCACCATTTATACGGCAAGTCGTCTTTATTTCCATATCGTGCTCGTTGCACATTCAGTGGCACACTGTTAAACTGTGACTAAACAATCGTTGGTCGTTGTCATCGCGTATTTTGAGACGAGCTTCCTCGTTCTTCATTAGCCGACTCCTCGTTCTTAAGTGGTATGTACAGTTGTTTGTAAAATTGATCTTAACTAATGTTTCTGTGAGGAAACAATTTTTGATATTATATGTATTTGATCGGTCCTGTTTCGAACAGTTTGCAATGGTTCTTCGTAATGCTTTAGTTGATGAATACGCTCATTCTTTTACTCCATTTACTTGAACGCGTGTGACTTTTTCATATCGGCTCATGCAATAGCCATCAAACGTTGTTCTTCCAAAACCGGATTTGCTTGTTGAATCTTTGCGTGCGGTTGTTCGTTTGGCTCAAAATGATAAGCATTTAAAGCTATAAAACACTTGAATGGAATTCAATAATGATTGTTTTCTACAGCTGCATGATCGTTTGAGATAAAAGTATTCGTTGTAGGCGTTCTGAGAGATCGTCGCTGATAGTCCTTTAATATTGCCGATTATTTCAAGTGATAAATGTAGTTTTGACTTGGAGAGTGATCAAGCTCTAGTGACATCAAGCGCAAAAGATTTTTAAAGCTGGCAACACGAATTTTATCGGACTTTCGATGTGAAATTTGTGCTATCTTTCTTGTATCATTTTTTTTTGCAAAGCTGGTTCGTTATTACCAAAAAACTCTACTTATTATTCAAAGTTGGCGGCGCAATGATCAGCCGTTTTTCAAATTAAACCCGTTTAAGTTAGTCTGTGCAATTGTCATTTTCACCATCTCCATTTTATCAATTCTAATTTATCTGTTTTTTTCTTTGGTTTTTTGATCAAACTGTATATTTTCACATGAAGATAAGCTCGTTGTCCTGATTATAAGGAGCCGATTTCTTTCACATACAACTTGACTGATAGGTAAAGCCCTTTCAAAAAATGGCTTAAACAATGGCATGGTTACAGCAGCCTCCTTCTGCAGACACAATAAAGGTCACTTTAGGTCATTGTTTAGGTCTTGGAAAGTGGACAAACAGTTAAACACGGGACATGACAAAATTGCTTTTAGAGGTTTAGGCATTGACCACTTCGATCACGCGTCGTCGCTTTCATGCTTGAAATTCCGTGGAGTTTATGAGAAAACAGGTTCAAGTTGCAAATAGATATTTTCAACTGAATCAAGCATTGCTTCCGTGAAGAGGATTTCAAATAATTTTGTTGTACATAATGCTGTTTATAAGCTTTTTATGTTCTGTTGGTTCAAAAATAACTGTTGATTTGATTGGTTCTGATTGGTATGACAACCAATCAAAAGCAAGTTTTCACGATCAATTGTGAAACATATGCCGACGGGCTGTTCAATTTAAAACCTACACTTAAAATCCACAGTTTATTGAAAACTCGCTGATAACGTAGCGCTGTTTGAACCTGGGTTCGTCAACTGGCTTTGAACAGTTTATCACAATTATTGGACAGTGGTTTGACCATTTTTTGTTCTCCATTTTGTTCTTATTTTGTCATCATAATCGAAGGGGAAAGTAGATAGCAAATGCTTTGATGAAAAGAAATTGAAAGATATTATTGAACAACTTAAAAATAATGAAAATGACAACAACATCGGCAAGTGTGCAGGTTGTTTGAAAATATTGTATTGCTTGTGCCACAACTTAAATGAATTTACTTGGATTTGTCTGCGTGGTTACCGAAAGAACCATAGCATCTGTTTTGAGAACAGCTTGGCTGGGTAAATGTAAAGGAGGGCAGTTGCCATAATAAGAGATTTAAGAGCCAAGGAAAGGTCTTGAATATAGATTTCGCGAGCATTGTTTCATTCAAACTCTGGTGGCCTTGTCGAGCTTGTTATTCACATTGTTTGATTAGCTTTTTATTGAGGGGATTAACAACTCATTTTCTAACATTTTACGCGAAGGATGTGCACTATTAGATGCTTTATCTGTGATATGTGCTTAATGTAGTCAAATTTTAGGCACTTAATATAATTTATGACTATAAGGGGCAATTTTTACCAAACAAAAACAAATCATAAGATATGTTGGAAAGTTTCTGTTTCAACTCGTGCATAGTTGAAGATTCTTGAACTCCGAAGTCTTCATCGGGTGTGACGGGATGTTGGAATGTGTTTAAGTTTGTGTATTTTTTATACTCCCGTTTTCCGTTGGAGTGATCTCATTTTGAATATCGATTCTCTATTTTTCAAGTCATGCGTTCTTATCACATGTAATCTTGTTGTTGTTCAGGTGTATAAATTTCGAGTTCTCCATCATGAGTTATTGGGAAACTCTCTGTTTAAACTTTACACATGCATAGGTCTGTGACGGGCTATATTTTTACGTGGAAATTTCTTGATATGAATATGTAGTTGTATGCACGTGTGCTATTAAAGTTCAATTTTAAGATGTTTTTGTCACTATCTACAAACGAATGACTTTCGTCATTTCACGATAACTGTGCTGGTAGAATGTTTGCTACAAGAAATTATTGCTTCGCTTTTGAATTTGTGCTCTTTGCATTTCAAGAAATTATTGTGGAAATTTAAGCTTTCTCTGTGTCA